CCAACACGGGCAAGGCCAATGTATGGTCAGCTGGTCGGCAATGCCCTGAAGGACAAGCATAGGGTGTCACGCCAACACCCGGGGTCCCTGCCCCACCCTTTGAGAGGAGAGTGGGATGGGCTCCCGGCACAGAGACGAGCTCGGCTAGTTACGGAGGGGAGCAGGGGCTGGTGGGAACGCACAGCTCAGCTCCACAAGGGGACCTAGCTGGCAAACCCCAAATTATCCTCGACGCCCCCGCAGAGTCCTCGCTCCCCTCCTCCTACAGCTCCCAGAGGACTCGGAGGTCCATCACTGCCTTGAGGAGTCTGTAAAGAGGACAAAAGAAGCGGGGAAATTTCCACCAGCACAGGGAGGACAGGGAGAAGGACAGGAGTGCCACCTAGAGAGCTCCGGGGCAGCCGCGCCAGGAGGAAAGGGACACAGCCCTGGGGGATGCAGAGACCCTCCAGCTCTTCTACATCAGGCGGCAACAGGGCCCAGCACTTCACCACCCCTCACACATACATCCAAACAAACATACACTCCACACGCACACAATCTACAGCCCACGCTCTCATTACAAACACACACACACACACATAACACATACATATGTGCACAAACACACATGTACTTACACGATTCTCACCAACCCACACATACACAGTCGTGTCACCAACAGACTACAGGTACAAGACGGTGGTCCTGACGGCTGTACCATTCAACGGGTGTGTAGTGGGCTGTACCGCCTAGTTTTGTCTTTAATTTTACGACATGAGCAAGATGAAATCACCAAACAGTACATTCTCAGAACATATCTCCATCCTTAAAAGACACGTGACTGTATACACACACACACACTCTCTCTCTCTCTCTCACACACAACACACATACTCTCAACGACATGCACAGGTACACTCACACATACTCATGCTCACACCAATCTCACACGCACACGTGGCTCTGGCCTGTGAGTCCGCATGGGAGCCAGGAGAGGGCAGTGTGTCTGCCACGCGCTGGGACTCAGGCCTTGTAGCCACAGGAGCCCATGGGAGGACGCGCTGCTGGGAGCCAGCAAGTGGAGCTGAGGCCCATCAGGACAGGCAGGGGACAGACCCGCCTCACCCCACACAGCTGGGCTACCAGGCCCTGCCTACTGCCCCCAGAGCTTGGGCAGAGCATGGTCCTGGAACAGAGACATCTCCATAAAAGGGGGAGATACCATGTTCCCAGCCCTGCCTAATGAGGGACAGAGCTGAGCGGGCGAGCTACGAAACAAGGACGGAGAGCAGGCGCAGGGACACGCGAGAAAGAACACTTAGAGAGCACCTGGAGCGACACTGGACAGGAAGAAAGACACAGAGAAACACGTGGAAAAGAAGGCTCGCTTGCTCTCAGATTTGGACCTGCACCAGGGACTCGGGGGACACGGGAGGAGACACGTGGAGAAGAGTCATGCAGACACTCGGAAGAGACACGTGGGGGAGAGGCCGCGGGGCGGCTGACAGTGGCGCCGTCTCTTGATCTGTATTTTAGTTTTGCTCCTTTTGTTCCCTTGCCTGGCCCCGTGGCCCCTTCCTGGTTCCCTGCCAGAGGTGTCTCAGACTGGGGCAAGCTCTCCGGCAGCCAGCGTCGGCACGAGCCTGTTTGAGTGGACATTTGCCCACCAGGAGATGAGTAATTTGGGGTGTTTTATTGTAAAACTATGATCCTTTCTTCTCTTCTCTATGTACATTAATCAAAGTTCTTCCACGCTAAGTATGCTCTGCCTTTATGCACAGAGAGCCAGACCCCTTTAGAGTATGCAATTTGGGGGTCCTGTGGTCCCCCTCAGTCTGTCCACCAACAGTCCCTCCCTATCAGGCCTGCACCACTTCTTACATTTTGTGCAGGAATTTCTAAAACCAGAGAATAAGTGTGTGAGCCCAGCAAAGGCTCTGGGAGCAAGATAATGACCACCCTCCGGGGAACCCTCCCAGCCAAGCACTTGCCCCGGGTCGAGAATTTCATCTCCCCCCGCCCCCCACCCCGAGTCTAGGAGACAGGAGAGGCTGTGATCCCTGTTTTCAGAAAAGAAAACAGAAGCCCAGGGAGGCACAGCCATGCCCTTCTTCAGGCGGAGACAGACCAGGGTCATGGCTGAGCGGCCCGGAGTGGGAACAGCTGGCCCCAGAGCACAGCCAGGGTCACCTGGGGTCTGGTCAGGGTCAGGACCAGACTGTATCAGTAGTTCTGAGAGGGTGCCATCTTGACTCCCTCAATAAATGTGCCACTCAAATTAAACACAGGAAGCCGCCTGTTCTCTTGGGGCCTGCGCCAGGGGGAGAGACCCAAAGCAGAATAGGTGGAGATAGGCGCCGAGCACTTGGGGGAGAACAGCAGGGAAACAGGGGGGCTGCCCGGCAGTGCCAGCAGTCAGAGGAAGCACCACCAAGAAGGTGGCCTGCAGGACATGAGGTGGCTGAATCGAGGCCCTCAACATGCCCACGTCACATCTGGGGCCTGTGCACGTGTCACCTCACATGGCAAAAGCATCTTCAGAGAAAGGATGAAGTTAAGGCCCCTAGAATGGGGAGCATCCTGGATTCCCGGGGCCCCGGTGTCCTCTGAAAGGTCCTTATAGAGGGAGGAGGAGGGTGCAAGGCAGAGAGACGTGAAGAGGCTACACTGTTGGCTGTGAGGACGGAGGAAGGGCCTGAGCCCAGGATGTGGCGCCTCTCTAGAGCTTGAGCCGGCAGGAGATGGTCGCCTGGAGCCTCAGAGGAGCCAACCCTGCTCACACTGATTGCAGACCCAGGAGCCTGACTTCAGACTTCAGGGCTTCAGAATCATGACAGGATCAGTGTGCATGGTGTGAAGTCACTAGGTTTGTGCCCATTCACTGGAGACACTGCAGGAAACTCACCCCAAGCCCAGCCCTGCTTCCTAATCCTTCCCCAAGTTTCTGGGCAGAACCAGTGGCCAGACGACAGGGCAAGGTCCCGCTCTGCCACCTCAGAGGTGAGGAGAGGGTGAAGCAGTTAACAACAGGACAGCAGGGGCCCTACTCGACCCCCTCAGCAAAGGTCTCCAGGAGATTTCAGCAACTTAAAGAGCCAACTTATTTAGTGTCAACAAACCCTCTGGGATGCAAACAAAAGTGCCCACAGAGGAGAAGGGAGAAAGCAGAGCAGTTTCTCTTCAGCTTTACTCTCATCACCTCAAGTCAGAATCTCAGGATTCAAGGACACCTTGAAAAATCTGGATTTTCCCACATTGGTCCAAACTCTATCAAGTAGGTGAGTCATGAGTTGTGCAAGCCAGTGAGCTTCCGGGAGGAGGGAGAGGAGGGAGACTCCTAAGAGAGGACCAGAAGCTCCCGGATTTGCCATGTTCTGTGCCACCAGGATGCGGTGCACAGGGGGAGGGGTGCCCGGCTGTTGCAGAGGTCAAGCTGGGGGCCCATGGGAGGAGCTGCGTTCTGTAGCCCCTGTCCCAGGTGCTCCCTTGAGTGGTCTTCCCAGGGCCTAGACCCACAGGGGGAAGGGAAGGGCCTATCCAGGGGTCCCTCCTCTCAAGTCAAACGTGTTTGACTTTCTATCTAAAGAAAGATGAGGTTGAGTGCAGAAGAGAAAGCACGTGCTCCCTGGGATGGGTGTGTTCCCCTCTTCTTTCTAGAAGATTTTAGGAAAGGCTCAACATTTAGCTTCATTTAGTAAAGGCTTCAACATTTAGAAGAACCACAGGCCGGGGCTGGGGTGACCCTGGAAAAGGGGCTGGGAACAGGACTTGCAGACGCGACAGTGGAATGTCAACAGAGTCAGAGTCACTCAGGATGGGGGACGTCAAAATGAGGAGAAGGTCCCCTCCAAAGCAGCTGCTTCAGAGTCACAAGCTCCAACCTCTGAGCCACTCAGGAGCCTTTACTAAGACACTCTTACTGTTAAGCAGTTAAGATGCTTCCCTGAACTCTGGGTAGAGAGGGAGTCTGAAGCTCTTGGAACAAAGTACTTAATGTTCTGCAGCCCACCTCGTGCTCACAGCCCGTGCAGATTCAGCACAGCCCCATCATGCAGTAGGCAAGCCCAGGGAGGCTGAGAGCTGATGGAAGGGTGGGTAGGGCAGCTGGGGAGGGAGGGAAAAGCCTGGTTCAAATCCCACCCTCATGCCCAACTTAGAATACCAGCAGATGTGGGTGCAGAGAAGTAGGCGGGTCACCTGATAAATCTTAGCATCTGACACTGATAGAAAACATGGCACAGACATACCAAGACAAAGGGGGCTTGACTTTCGTCTCCTTGGGTCCCTGGCTGTGTTGAGTTGCCCCCACCCATGTACCAAGGCTCAGTGATCAGCCAGCTCCTGAGAATCACAATATGTTCCCCACTCTTCCCTGAGATACGGTGACTACTGTGACAACAGAACTTTCTAAGACAGTTGGGGAGAGGCGGAGGATGCAAAGACCCCAGCTTATAAGTCTCTACTAGAAAACCCCAGTGAACAAAAGCAGTTCCTTAGAAGGGGTACTGACTGTCCTGCAGCAGAAGAGGGTTGTGAAGTACAGAGATTCCAGAACACAACCCCACCCAGCCTGCAGAGCCCATCACACTCAGAAGACAGAAGCATCTTGTCTTCACAAGTAGTCTTTAGGTCCATCACTTGCAACCTCTACCCCCAAATCTGGAGGCCAGGGGGAAGTTGGGAGTTGATTCAATACACACGGCCACACACTGCCCAGTCCCATGGGCCAAGGGACAGACCCCAGTACAACAGCCACATGCCTGACACAAACCCAGGTGGTGCCCAAGCTCTGGGTGCAAACCATAATTTCCAGGGATCTGGAAGCTTCATGCCTAGGGAGCACACACCCCCTATAACCAATCAAAGCTGCACCTATTCAGCTGCCAGAGCACTCCCCAGCCTCCACCTGACAACAGCAGCCCCAGACCCAGGCAGGCACCCCAAAAGCACACCTGCCTCCACATGAACCCATCCATAGGCCCTTCACATGGCTCCCAGGCTGCTGGTCAGACACTCACCAAGACTTGGGCTCCCCAAAATGCAGGTAGTTGATGCTATACAGGTCCATGTCCTCTGTGTGCCAGGCAAAGGTGGTCTTCCACATGCCAAAGTACAAGTAGGGGGTATTGACACCCTCGATGATGGTGCCACACTCTCGTTCCACCATGTCTAGGATGGTCCGTAAGTTCCCAATGTTCCACTGGGCCACATCCTGCAAAGGCAGCAAGCACAGGGTCAGTGCAGCACTCTGGGCCTGGCCACCCCCAGACATGCTGATCTGGATCAAGAAGGCGGACTATGGTTCCCCCAAGCTCCGCGCTGCAGCGTGACCCCCAGAGAGGAACCAAGGCAGCTCTAAACCTGCCCCCCTCAGATGCTCACCCACTCCAGTCTCCAAACCCACCACGGACTATAGAGTCCTTTTGTCAAGGACAAAAGAAGAACAGAAAAAGGATGACTTCGGCCTGCAAACCAGCAGCCCACCCCATGCTGAGCAGTCAGAGAGGAACTTTTTCTGGATTCTGTGGTGAGCTGGGGGTTAATCATGGCAGTGAAGGCTGCATTGAAAAGGCTTCAGTTTAGTCATGAATAATTAATGTATCTCAAAGTCAATGACATGAAAGAAGACAATTGCTGAGTGGGGCTAGCCTAGCACTGGTGCCAGACAGCCCTCCCAGCACCTGCTGATGGAGGAGACAGAGACAGTGCTCAGTACCAGGCAAATAAGGCCAGAATTCTCACCAACCGGACTCAGCTAGTCCTAATGCCACAAGCAAACAAACCCCATCTTGTCATAAGAGCTCATAAAATACACATTAATCAATTTCCAGTCCCAGGAGAACCCTCCAAGCCTGTTGAAATGCCAAGTGAACTTGAGAGTGTTTTTTCTTGTCCCAAATCCGCCCTATACCACCCACTCCTGACCTGGTTTCAACCCTTGAAATGACAGGAGCAGGGGTTGATCTTTGCAAGATAAGTCCCAGTGGGAGCCGGGGCTAGAAAGGGGGAGAAATCAGACCCCTTAACTTGAGGATGAGAAGTCCAAGATCTAGAGCAGAAGGTGCCTGAGGGAGTGGTGGGGCGTGGGGGGCACACTAGAAACAGGTCATTTCCCTAAAGCTGGATCCAATCCACCTAACTGTCTAGTCCACACATTCATAAGGCAGCTGCAAGCAGGAGACCTGGGGTTTAATCTGAGCCAGGGCGATAATTCATCCTGTGACCAGGGCAATTTCTTGCTCTGTTCTGGGCCTCAGTTTCCCCATCTGAAAAAGGAGACTGTTGCACTAGATCAGGCATGGCAGACATATGGCACTGAGACCTGAATCTTCTTCCAGAACCCATGGCAAGTATCACCCATCCATCTTGGCACAGCTGAGCCTGCACTTGGCTGTGGAGTCCTTCTAGGGGTCATCACCGTCAACCAACCAGCTAGAGGCAGCACAAGAGCAAACCCAGAGCTTTTCACTGGACTAGGCTCTAATTTTTATTTTTTTTCCCAAGATTTATTTATTTATGCATAAAAGAACTGCAGTATAGGCCAGAAGTGGGGGTGGGGGGGTGAGAAGATTCACCAGAGACAGAGTGGGGAACAGAACAGGCAGACTGAGTGAAATACACTGCTGAGGGGAGCAGTGGGCTAGTCAGGAGAGGTCTGCTGTGCCATGTGGGTAGCTCCCTGCCTGGGGATTGAACGTGTGCTGCAGAGGCTGCGGATAGCTTCATAGGTTGCATCTTAACCCCTTGTGCCAACAGAGAGGCCCTAATTTTTATTTTTAAACAGTAATATCATGTCTTCAAAAGAGTGAGAAGACAAGCCACTGATTAGGAAAAAAATATTTGTAGAAGATACATCTGATATAAGATCATTATCCAAAATAAAGAACACTTAAAACTCAACAATATGAAAACAAATAACCCAATTAAAAATGGACCAAAGGCCTGAAAAGATACCTCACCAGAAAAGATATACAGACAGCCAATGAGCATATGAAAAAATGTAGGGAGAACTCTCACAACTCAATTCAATAATAAAAGACAATCCAACTTGGGAAAGGATCTGAAAACATTTCTCCAAAGAAGGTATAGAAATGGTCAATAAGCACATGAAAATATGCCCAACATCACCAGCTATCAGGGAACTGCAAGTCACTGAGAGACAGCACTTCACATCCAGCAGGATGGCTCTAATGGAAAAGACAGACAATAACAAGAGTCGACAAGGACATGGACGGAATCTGAACCCTCATTCACTGCTCATAGGGATATAAAATAGTGCAACTGCTTGGGAAAAATAACAGTCTGGCAGTTCATCAAAACACAGTTACCACCTGAACTGCAATTTCCCACTGCTAGGTATATGCCCAAGAAAAGTGAAAACAAATCTATATAAAAACTTGTGTATGGGGCCTCCCCGGTGGCGCAGCAGTTGAGCGCTGGGTTGCAAAGCTGCCCGCGGCCTCTGCGGCGCCGGTTCGATCCCTGGCTGCTCCCCGGCCACCGGAGGAGGGTCCCGCATGGCGCGCAGACCTCTCCTGCCGCCCGCTGCTCCCCTCAGCAGTGTGCTTCGGTCCTTCTGCCTGCTCTGCTCCCTGCTCTGGCTCTGGTGGATTCTCTCACCCTCCCGTTTCTTCTGACTGTACCCAGTGCTTGTATAAATAATAAATAAATAAATCTTAAAAAAAAAAAAAAAAAAAAAAACTTGTGTATGATAGCCATAGCAGCTGTATTATAATACCCCCAAAGTAGAAACCACCCAAATGTCCATCAGCTGGGGAGTGGATAAAGAGGAGGTCCATGAAGTGGAATATTACTCAGCCATAAAAAGGAGTGAAACACCGACACGTGCTACAGTGTAGATGGACCTTGAAAACATGCTCCGAGACAAGCCAGACACAAGGCTACATGGTGCGTGATTCTGCTGATGTGAAATGTCCAGAACAGGCACATCCTCAGAGACAGAAAGCAGATTAGTGATTTTAAAAGAATCTAGGGGGTAACTGCTAATAGGGGCATGTTTTCTTCATGGGATGATGAGAATATTCTCAGATTGCTCATGGTGATGGCCACATACCTCCGTGAATTCACTAAACATCACTGAATTGTATGTATGCTTGAGATGTGTGGTATGTGAATCACATCTCAATATTGCTTTTGAAAAGAAAAGCAGCAAGTCAGATCACCGACAAACTGACAAGCAAATGAATGATGCTAACTAGCCCTGATGCCCCAAAACCCTGTGTGGAAAATAATGGATCGGTCGACAGTAGGCATCTGAGTGCATGTTCATCTTACACACAGCACATGAAATGAACTTTCTCCATCGCTTCAGGTTGCTGGGGTCAAGTTCCCTTCCCAGAAGTCACGGTTCACAAAGCAGCAGCAGCACTGCACACTGGGTGGGGCCAGGACAGACGTCGATGGACATCAAAGAGCTTTGTCCAAACTGACATTGAGTGAAGGGTGGCCAGGGTGGAGGGACACAGCAAGTGAGGTCCACCCACCAGAACGGATTCCAAGGCCAGCTCGAAACTAGACACAGAGGGTGTCCCAAGCCTTAGGAAAGTAGGGAGAGGGCACCTTGATGCTGTAAGGATTTGAGTTATAAATGGAGGCTCCTGCTTGGGGTGACTGCCGGCCCTGCCTGCAGAGACCCTAGCACAACTGCTCTCTTTGGGTTCCCGAGATCAGGTGTGATGCCGATGCTTGGCGACAGCCAATGCCTCTGGTCAAAGTCACCAGACCTCCCTGGTGCAGGCTGGCCAGGGAGGCAAGTGTGCAGTCCTGTGAGAAGGCATACAGGAGCCCATGGGCACACACATGCCACAGCGCTGTGTGCGGAGGGCAACTCCCGCTGTGCCCTGCCCGAGCAGCTTCCAGACATCCTGCAAGGATGAAACTGGACAGTCAGGTGAGTGCCAGGGAGGGCTGCTCTGGGCCTCACGCCTGGTATGAAACATGGGTTTGGGAGGTGCAGGCCCTCAGGGCTGGGAAGCCCTCAAAGCAAGTAGAAAGGCAATGGCAGCGCACAGGAGGGACAGCCACCACTCAGGTGACAGGTCCCCACAGACCCCAGAGACCCAGGGACACAGCCCCACTGGCAGTCAACCTGCCCCCAGTGCCTCCGCACTGGCTAGAAGACAAGTTGGCTGATGGGGCCAAAATACACAAAACACACGTAGGGTGAAGCCAATGTCAGCCAGGCTGGCTGAGAAGTCGTGGCTCCCAGGTTTCCGGGAAGAACAGAAACATGGAAAGTAACTGAATATCCGAGGAGGAAGAGCAGTCTCCAGGAGAGGAAGTGAAACACAAGTGTCATCTTTTTAAAGACCATTTTATGACATTAAGACCATTCTGTCCCTCTGCTGAGGTCAGCTGCTGAGGGAAGGAGGCTGGGTCAGGGCCAGCAGGCGGCAACTGAGTAGGAAAGATTCCGTGGATCAGGAAAACCACCGGGTTCATTGTCCTAAGACTCAGCACTTCAGCAGGGCCTCGGATTACATCGTCGCTTTCAATGTCATTTCATTTTAATGTTGACAAGAAAACAAAAATTCCAGTTGACAATGCAACAAAGGACATTATTCAATGGTCTGTTCTTGTTCTACATTATTTCACTTAAAGTCAGTGTCTAAGAACCTGTAGTTATGTTAAGGGAGGACTTACTATAGTTGTACCTAGAATCCAGAAGAAAACATAGCTAAGTGTCATTTTAACTTTGGTTTTTCAAAACAAGTCCTAGTCATACTCTTTCTCTTCCAACAGTTACCAAGAAACCGAGCCCCTTGTTTCCCCCAGAATGGTCGGCTAAGGCACCAAGGGGACTCCAGTACTCACATCATCGTACAGAGAGCCGCTGATGTCAGCCCCGTAGATAGGGGAGACGAAGGTGAGGTTCTTCCAGTACTTGCGTTCCAGGTCATCGAAGTCCTGGTGCCGTGGAGTGCAGTACCTGGTGAGCAAACAGCAACAGAGATGAGCTGCGGGCACTGGGCCTGCATCTGATGCGCCTGGCAGACCCTGGGGTACCTGCTGTACACATCTTGGGAGTAGCTCTGCTCAGGCCCCCCGCTGGCCCCACCACAGGCACCGCCCTTGAGCACATGGATGTGGTCTGAGTCCAGGTGGACAAGCATTTATGCCAGGGATGCGTGTATAGGGGAGGGTGAGAGGCCCCTGCCAGAAGGATGTCATGCATCCCATCTTGTTAATGACCTTGTCTGGGGAACTCAAGTCAGAAGACACCAGGGACAGTGGGGGCAGGTGAAGGGAATGTGGCTTATCCTCTCACCAGTCTGCAAATACCAAGAGCACCAACAACAGACTAGGACTGTCATGGGGAGAGGGTCAGTGAGTAAAAGGGCAGATAAGGCCTTGCCCCCACAGGGCACCTATGTTTGAGAACAAAGACAGGACAGAAATAGACAAATGATTTTGTGAATGAGAGAGCTGGGAACAATACAGAAAAGGGAAGGAAAACCATGATGTCTTGTGCCTGTGTATGCACCATGATGCTCATGAAGATGCCTGTGAGCTCACTGGAGTGTGTGCTGTGTGTATATACAATGACTGCACGTGAATGCCCATGAGCTCATGGGACTGTGTGTGCCTGTGCGTGTGCTGTGAATGCTCATGAATGTAACCATGAGATCACCAGGGAGTGTATGCCGGGAAGGTTCCTGAATGTGCCAGTAGGATTCTGGGAGCATGTGTGCCCATGTGTGCCCCAAGAGCCCAGACCATGGCTGACATGGGATGTAGGGCCCATATGTCCTGGGAATGCTCATGAATGTGCCCATGAGCACATGGGCATGACTGTCTGCATGCCCGTGTGTGTGTGCCATGAAGGCCCATGAGTGCACTTTGGGGGATTGTGTGTACCTAACATCTCTGCATTCCTAGGGCCCCTGGGGGACTGTGCTTCACAGAGACAAAAGCTACCAAGTCCCACTTCTAGGGGCACAGAAGCTTTCAAGTTGTGGTTCCACCTCACGGCCAGGGACTCAAGAGCACACCCCACCAACCCAGTTCCCGGATGCATACTTCTCGCTGTTGGCTAGGCGGCGGTACTCCCCAACAGTCATGGCCTTCTTCTGGATGTTGTACTGTGTGAAGAGGCCCGACTGGCCTGTCACCACCTGTTGGATGGGGGCTGGTATGACCACGTCATCGATGTCATCATACGTCTGCCGTGGCTTCCACTCCTTTGGGGGGATGATCTGCAAGAACCAGAGAGAGTCAGTGGTACCCCCAAATAGCATGGCCACTGAGGACCAGGCACTAGCAGGGACAGAAACACACCGCCCTCTCCTGGGAGACCAGAGGTGACTCTCCAGGGAGCTCTGCTCAGCCCTGCCCTAGGGTGGCACAAAGAGTGATCAAACCCCCTGAGAGACTTCAGTGCCACCAATGTAGACACTGCACATTAGGCAGAGCTGTGCCTAGCTCCCCACACTGCCTATCAGAGCATCTGCAGAAAAGCTGGGAACAGGGCCTCCCCTGGCGGTACAGGCGGTTGAGCGCCAAGCTGTGAAGCTGTCCACAGCCTCTGCAGCACAGGTTTGATCCTGGCCTGCCGGCGAGGGTCCCACATGGCATGGCAGACCTCTCCTGTCTTGCCCTCTGTTCCCCTCAGCAGTGTATTATGGTCATCTGCCTGTTCTGTTCCCCACTCTGTCTCTGGTGAATCCTTTCACCCTCCCGAGCATCTGGCCTATACCCCGGTTCTTGTATAAATAAATAAATCTTTTTTTTTAAAAAAGGGAAAAGCTGGGAACACCCCCAGAGCCCAAGGGCTGATATGTTATCTGCTAAAACCAGAATGGAACGTCCTCACTTTGCCCAGGGAGTGCTGTGCTACAGCGCCCTCTAGTGGTAGAAATCAGCACCGCGTGCCCCTCCAGACTTAGGAAACACCATTTCCCTGATCACCTACCCAGCAACCACAGCTCTAGGTGCTGGGGAAACAAAGATCCCGGCCCTCATGGAACTAACATTCTGATGGGAAAAGGCAGATAATAAGAGAAGGAAAGGTTGTGTGCGTTAACCTAACAGGTACGTACTTAATACTTAGTACTAAACCCTAAGGACCAAGGAGAAAGAGAGTTCCAGAGGCACCCAGGGTGACGATTCCAAGCGGGACAGACCCGAGAAGGTCACCTCTGAGCAAAGGCATGGCTATTTCTCTGCAGTCAGTTCTCACCAGCAGGTGGCCAAAAGCCTTGACCCTGAACAGAGCGCAGTCTTCTCCCCCTCCCTTCACACAGGGGCCACTGAGGGCGCGGAAGGCTTGGTGTCAGGGCTTCTGGGAGTGCCTCCACCCAGGTCACAAGTTAAAGACCCACCCCGGCTAGAGGGGCCTCCTGCCCCTGGCCCCACTAAGTGTGCCTGCTGGGGCTCAGAAATCTGTTCAGCCTCCCCAACTTCCTCCTTTCCTCATCTCTGGTTAGGGCAACACAAGTGGGTCTCTCCAGTCTGTTGGGTGTCTGCAAGCCCATCCAGGAAGCCCAACAGCTTTGGAACTAAACCAATCCATTTGTCAGTGCATGGGCCACAAGCTCAGAGACAGACCCCTTAGTCTGCTCAGAGCCTGCGGGAAGAACACCCTGCCGACTCCTGAAGTGACAGCTTCCAGAATGGCTGTCGTCCAGTTACCATCTCCAAGGACTCCCTATCACACGGGTGGAAGAAATGTTTTACTCGGCCATGAAAGCACTTATTTTCAGTTGCCTGTTACCAACAGAGAGGCTGCCCCACTGTGGGGTGACTGACCTAAAAAATAAATAACAATAACAGGAAGTCAGTGGTCCTCACCTGGGGCAGCTCTGCCCCCTAGGGGACATTGGGTGACGTGTAGGGACATCTGTGGTCACAACTGAGAGTGATCCTGGCTTCAAATAAGTGATATTAGCAGTCCCGATGACACTCCGTCAAGAGGGGGCCCTAATTTACAGTTTAGTGAAGATTAGCCACATCTGGGGACACATCTGTTCAGATGAGGCAGACTCTCTGAAGGTCTCCTCCCCCACTTCAGTGTGGTCCAGCTATGAGCACTGGGGGTCTGAGTGCTGGGTTTATGGGGCCATGTGACCACACAGTGCGGGGCTGGCCTGTAGGAGGACAGTTTTCTTGGAGTCAGTGATTAAGACACTCAAGATTGAAAAGGCAGATACCTAGGAGACCTGTGCCTCCAGGATCTGAGCTACTGTCCCAGAGAAAAGGGTTTAGAGACAGGATTCCTTGAACCTACTTTGTCATTACATGGGTGTGAATTTCCTGCAATAGGGGGTACCACAAGCCCGGCTCAGCACCAAACCCACACTGAAAGCAGGGACCATGAGTGCACCCACTTCAGTTCTGTTAAGAACTGAACATCATCCCAGTAAATGAATGAACCAAAACACACCATTCCCAAATCCCCCCCAAATGAACATCTTCAGTCACTTTGCTCCCTTATACCATCCCTCACAGACACCCCTGTGGTAAAGACACGTGCAGACCACAGAGGTGCGTGTCAGACACGCCCATACTGCTTTGCACAAGTGTGCAGCATTGTCACCTGGACGCACACCGAGCAGCTTCCGAAACAGCTGCATTTAGAGGACTACCTCCAGCTGCAGCCTCTGGAAAAGTCCTTCAGGGTGGAAGCAGCTAACTGAGGCCTAGCGCTGTCAAATCTCTACAAGAATGCAATCTGAAGACAGCCCTTCAGGTTAAGGACAGCTGAAGGGTGTCACCTAGTGAACTGTGAGTATTCTGAGCATCTGATTGCTAATGGCCCCACCCTCACAAGGTGGGGGGCCTCGTGCCCCCACCCCCACCAAGTGTGCCTGCTGGGACTCAGGAATCTGCTTAGCCTCCCCAACATCTTCCTTTCCTTGCCCTGGTTAGGTGCTTCAGTTCTGTGAGCCTAATGGCTGGGACCCCCTGGACAGACCTTTACTCTAAATTCCTGGAGGGTGAGCTTCAGCTATAAGCAGCGGAGGAGCAAGGCCACACCTCCCAAGGGAACAGGAACACCAGGCAGGGTCCAGGAACACATGGCCAAGCTGGGAGCATCTAAGCTGTTGGAGCAGAAGTGTGAGTAGAAAAGTACCCAGGGCAGAAAGTAAAGGGTCAGCTCTGCCCCTTGAAACTGCCAGGTCCCAAAGCCATTCATAGACGGCAGGCCTGGCAGCTGGGAGGAGGAAGGATAATCACCTGACCACGGGGCCATTCTCAGGGACACGGAAGAGGGCACCGAAGTACTCTGACCACTCCCACACTGCCTGTGTCCTTCACCACCACCCCCAGGCTCCTTTGGCTCCCTCCCACCCCGGAGCTTCCATAAAAGCCTGGGGAGACCCAGTCCTGTTCAGGTACAGGAGTCTGGCTCCGCACTGACCCCCATGCATGTACAGAGCGGCTGCGCACAGGCCCTCGCCACCCTGATCCACGGCTTGGTATGGGGCTCCCACCACCCAAAGCCACTGCCTGCTGAGCATGCCACCAGGTCCCACAGGCTTACTGGTGGGGGACCAAGTACAGCTTTGATAAAAGAAGAAAACACAACACACATGCTCTCACATGTACAGGTGGTGGTCGAGACCCACGAGATAAGGAAGAGTGAGGAAAAGTACATCTAGAGTCCACTCAGGCCTGCAGGACATGTGTCCCATCTTCAAATTGTCTGGCAGACCTGAGAGCCAAGGGATCCCATTTGAAAGGAGCAGGCAGTGCCCAGGACTGAGGAACATGCCTCCCTGGAGCCATCTGTCCCCACAGGGTGGCAGGGAGGCCGCCAGAAGATTAGAAACACTGGCACACCCTGCGAGGCAGGAGAATGATGGTGCACGCGTGTGTATCACCAGGATCTCCTGGCAGCTCTCTCCGCCTCCACACACAGAACCCGCCCTGTACCTACCCCCCGCCACTGCTGGCGCCTTGGACAGTTTCAGGAAGGATTCCCTGTGTCCAAAAGCAACTATCAAAGACAAGATAGCACACAAAGTGTCATATAAAAGTGAAAAGGAATATGCAAAACAAGACTGAGGGAAAACAGATTCTGAAAATATTTGCCTCACAAAACTCCGGTCCTATAGGTTTCTCATTAATTGAAATAAATGAGCGAAAAATTGGTCCCCTGGAATTAAAAGCTCCACACAGAGCCATCAAGGCTCAAAGGAGAGGTGAAGACACAGACAGAAGCAGACGAGGAGGAAGGAGCACAAGGAAGGCGCAGTCAGAGGCGGAGGATAGATCACCAGGGACACACGTGTCACCGGAAGCTGCTCAGGGAGCAGGACAAGCAGGGAATAGCCAGGGTGAAGGCTGTTGGTTCAGAGAGCAGTGACATGGAAGCAGCACAGGCAAAGGGGTGAGAGAGTGATGGAGTGGAACTCGAGGTGCTTCTAGCAGAACGGGCTATGATATTAATTCACTACAATGTTCCTGACATGAAGGACAACTTGAATCCAAAAGCGGACAGACTGCACCCCGGGAAGAGTGGAACTAGGTCAAAGACAGGAGACACGGGAATAAAATTCCCAGATAACGAAATTCCCCTTCCCTGTCCCCCACCACAATGGGCATCAAGACCCAGAGTCTCTCCACAACTGGGCACTTATGATGTGCCAGGAGAGTGTCACCACCCCATCTATCCATCAGGCAGACAGAAGTTCCCAACTGGAAGCTTCTGAACCTGCAAGCACCCCAGGCACAGAGTTTCCAGGCCCTTCTGGGGATGACAAACTTCAGTCAGATGAGAAACAGCAGAGAAACAGTCTGGAGAGGTACTGTGAGCACCGAGGCCCACTGAAGGGAAAAGTGAAGGCCAGGGAACAGCACAGCTCCAGTAGCAGAGCCACTGACACGTCCTGCTGTCCCTTTACTATCATGGTTGACAGTGAACATGAATGGGGTGGGGAGAAGGGCGTTGCAGGCCACTGCCTTATCTCCTCAGGCTGGGAGTCCAGGCGTGAAAGAACCAGGGGAGAAACTAGTAATAGTAACAAAATCCTCCAAAACCGGGGTTGGGGTGGCTAGGACACTAATCTCACTGTAGCAATATAATGGCCAACACGTCCAAGCAAGCTGAACCCCACCTGCTGCAGCCCAAGGGTTAACAATGTTTTTGTTTTATTTTCAAATGGTTGAGGAGAAAAATAAGATTGTTTTGAGACAAGTAGAAATTCCATGAAATTCACATTCCTGAGTCCCTAAATAAAGTTTGATTGGCACACAGTGATGATGTCCAGTTATGAGTTGCCTATAGTGGCAGAGCTGAGGGGTGGCTGAAAAAATTTGTTATCTGTTTTTTTGTAGGAAATGTTTATAGACCCTTACGTTTAAATAATAAAGGGCTAGGTAATCTTAGATAAAGTGAAAGTCATACAAAACAACTAGAAGAACCCAAAACAAACAGCTCACAAATCTTCCAGAATCTCCCAGATTATTGCGTGAGCCACACCACACACACAAGCTCATGTGAACATGAAGAAACACAGCCTCTGTCTTCAAAGTCAACTCCACGTATAGAAGAGGGCACATGCAGGGCAGAGGCTGCTACCAAGCTGCCTGGAACAGGGACATCACCCACCTTGGCCAGGCCTGCCCGGTGGGCACCCTGGGATTCGATATAGGCCACATATTTGTTGAAGTCCTTAAATTCTTCCATGGTTGGGCGAAACGTCATGATTTTACAACTCGGGTTCTGGGCCCCATGATCCTCAGACCCCATGGCTGCAGCTGAGAAGAGGCAGCACCTGCGAGGGAAGACAAGAGAGCGTGAGCATGTTAGAGCACCACCCTTGGGTCCTCTTCTCCCTCAGGAGACACTAAAAATACCCCCGGCCTCCAGAAGACAAAGGCAGCAGGGCTACAGCTGAGTGAGAAGGGCAAGAGGAAGCTGGGGGCCGACTGCAGTATTCTGCCCTGGCACAAAAGACCAAAATGACTTCAACTAATTAAAAACAGAGGTGTCCTAGTTCTAAAGCCAATGCGATGTTGGAAGCCAGAGCACTCATTTTCAACAAGGGGCCCTCAGAAGTTAAACCTTTCGGACCAGGGAGTAGTCGCCTAGGCTCACTGGCATCAGCTTCAAATCAGCACATCTCCTTGGAGAGAAGGCAGCACAGGGCAGGCTTCCGACGATGAGTGTGTCTTCTCTCACATGGGACCCAAGCAGGGACCACCTGTGAGCAGCACAAGTCACGCTAGTGCTGGCCTGGTTGCTGAGGGTGAACCCAGACCCCAATGACCCCCAGGCAGCCCAAAGCGGGAATCCGGAAGAGGGAGAGCTGAAGCCTGACCAGAAGGGCTGGTTTCCCGTAATCCAAGATGCTCCAAATAACCTGGGAGGTTCCAACGCAGCAGGGCAAGCGTGGCCAAGTCTCGCCCTGAGAGACACTACTGCCGGGGATCAGGGGCCCACCCCAAGCAGGAAGGGGTTTGGTGACAGACTCTGGGGAAAGGCCCCTGCTGACAGATTAAATTCTCCTGGCTAAATTCCCCCAATTTGAGGGAAAGCCAGACTTCCTCCAGGATTTGAAAAAGGTCAGAGTCCAAGTGTGAGTGCAGACCTGAGAACTGACAAGACAGTTTAAGCAAGCCCAGCCCCTTCCCCAAGCCCCAGAGAGGGCTGGGCTATGAGAAAGAAAGGCAGGAAACCCCCACCAGCCCCGAAAGGTGGCTCTTTGTCACCAAGATGCTTGGGGAAGGGGGTGCGGCGGGGGTGGAGCACGGGCTTCCCTAAGGCACTCTTCCAGGCAGACACTAGAGGGCAGCATAAGCCCAGGAATTAGGTCGTCAGTTCCTGGCACAGATCTGGAGGCTGGGGGCTCACCAGCACCCTCATCCAGGCTCTGTCCTCAACCACCCATTCCCCAGCCCGTGGCTGATGGGGCTGGGACCGGGGAGATGACACGAAAGGCTGCACTACTGGCAAGGGCCCCTGAGAATCCCGACACATGGGTCACCTGAACATCCAGGACTGGGGCCCCACTGAGGCCCTCTGTCCTGTGTCCACAGCAAGTCCCAAGGCCTCTCCTTGGGAGCAGCCGCACAGCTGTACAGAAGGCCATGATTGCCCATGACAACAAATAATAATCGCTCTGGGAGGGATGTGAAGGAACCACCATGAAAACGCAGATTTATAAAAAGAACAGGCCTATCTCAACCTACAACCACCTCCCACCCACCTCCTGCAGAGCAGCAGGCACCAGAGGGCTCCAGAGCCCACCCAGGAGGCTGCCCACTCTGACAGACCTCAGGACTGACCATCATACTGTCCCAGCCCAGCCTCTTGTCCACAGCCAGAGCGTAGTAGCTGCACTGCCGTCTGCCATCCTCACAAGTCCCAAAGGCTGGCTCTCTCCCGTCCAGTCCAGACATGGGCACGTGGGGCTGGCTCGGGTCTCCAATACCAGGTGGGGTGCCAGTGTAACTGTCCTGGGGGAGCTTATAGCTTAGGCGAGTAGACCCTGACCCCTTCAAAAATCAGCGTGAAGGGAGACACAGGAGGGTGGAGAGGCGGGGAGAAGGACATGGGTGGCCTCTGTGGGCAAGGACCTTGATAACAAGGGGACAAGCTGCTCACAACCCAAGAGCCATCCCATCCCTGCCCATCCCACTTCCCATCCCCCAAGACTTCCCACACCCACTGGGGAGCGTAACCACTCCTGCCGGCACAGAGCCGCAGACGCCCAAGGGCATCCCTGCACACCCACCTGTATGGAAGATCAGATCCTTCCTCAGACCTGCCGCCAGAAAGTGATGTTCTCACCTCCCCCCTACTCCTGGTCTTCTCCCGGGTCCCAAGTCCTACATGGCCACAAAAAGGTCAGAGGCCAGCTCCTCAGTCTGAGGTAAATGGTGCCCAGGTTTGGTGGTGGTGGTGATAGTGAACATATCAACATGTAACACCCCCACCTTGTTCTTTGCTTTTTATGTAAGTGAACGGGCAACTCCATACAGTAACCCCATTTTTCACAGTTCACTAATAAGGACTCAGGACACAAGGGGAAATCATATGCCTGGAGGCCTGGCCAGGGTCAGTTGCAAGGGCTGAGTCTCGTACCTGGCGGTGATGGTGCCAGGACCCACCCACCTACTGCTGTCTTCTGCCTGCGCGCCTCCTCCTAGGCATGCCTCCTCCTCCACCTGCAGGAGAGCGACGGCTTCTCCTGAGCTCCAAGCAACTGCATCATCTCAAATGGAATCCCACAGAGGTCGCCCCCTGCCCGCCCCCCTGTCTACTCAGCACTGTAGGGGCGACAGCACAGTGAGGTGGACATCTCACCCCCCACCCAAGGCCAGCTTGTCCCAGGCAGAGCGTGGGTGGCCCCAGGGCCTTGCCACGCGAGCTCTTTCTCACATCCAAAATCACACTATGCAGATGAGTTTTACATCTAGGAGGTGAAAAAGGCAGATGACAGCACAGCAGGTAGCTCTGCGCGTCCACGCTGGCAAGAACACTCTGCTCCAACCACCAATGCTGTCTAGATTCGGCTCTTCCAGGCAAGATGTGGGCGGGGGAGGGGAGTTTCTCTCATTTGTACCTTTTAAAACGAAGTATTTTTAGTAGGTAGATATAAAGAGAATGAAAATGATTTCTAATCCCAGCACTCTATAACCTTTGACCCATTTTTGTGGGAGGGCAAATAAATACCCAACATGCACATATTTCAAGAAAAAGGAATCTGACTGAAACCAGCCCTGGGCCAAATTTCCTTGTAGTTTACTGGAAACACAGGGGGAACAGAGGGCCAAGAGGGAGCCTAACGTGAGGGAACTCACAGAAGAGTCCAGAAAGAGACATACTCTTTGCAAAACAGTGTCATGACAAAATAACAGGGCTCTGCAACTCAGGCATGAGAAGACAAACAGTCCAGCTGAAAAATGGGCAAAGAATAGATATTCCTCCAAGAAGACACATGAGGGGCCAGCAGACACAGGAAAGATGCTCAGCACCACCACGCGTCAGGAAAATGCATATCAAAACCACAGCGAGACACACATCATCCCCACCGAGGTGGCTACAATGCAGAGGGCAGACAGTAACATGGGGCGGCAAAGACAGGGCGAAGTCAGAGCCCTCTCACACACCGGTGGGAGGGAATGTGGGGCCGCTGCTGTAGAGAACAGTCAGGCAGTTCCTCAAAAAAGTACGCACGGAATTACTGTATGACCCAGCAATGCTATTCACACCCAAAAGAAGTGAGCACATATGTCCACACAAACACTTGAACACTAATGTTCAGAGCAGCGTGATTCCCAATGGTCGAAAGGTAAAAGCAGCCCAACAGACGAATGGGTAACGCAGGATGGTTCTTCCACGTACTAGAGTATTTTTGAGCTTCGAAAAGGAAAAACAAAAAACAAAAAACCTCTGACGTTCACTACCACATGGAGGTAGGCTGAACAAAGGGTTCAGGGAAAAACGCCAGACACAAATGGTCACATATTGCACCCCAGGCTAAGGGGATTCTTCATGGGATATGGAAGTATTCTCAAGTTGACTGCAGGGGTGGGTGCAGTCTAAATATAGTCACGGATCACTTCATGTCAGAGACACAGTCTAAAAAATGCACTGTTAGGCGATGTTTTTCTGCAAAGATCCGAAAGTGTAATCACACCAGCAAAGATACAGCCCACTACACTCCCAGGCTAGATGGCACAGCCTACTGGGACCCCTGCTGTATGTGCAATATCCACCACTGGTCGCAAGTGAAGGTGACTATGCACTAAAAACCATGGGAGTGCATGCCTTAAAGTGGGTGAGCGATGCGGTGAGCGAAATCTAGGCAATGAAGCTATTACTTAACCCGCCCCCCCAAAGAAAGATGAGGAGGGGATAAGAAGAAAAACATTAAATTTTATATTTGCAAAATAAAATAAAATAAAATAAAACAAAATAAAATAAAATAAATTTCGTATTTGTAAAAGAAAAAAGTAGTACTCTTCTCAAGAGACAGGAGAATAATATAATTTAAAAAAAAATTTTAGAGCGAGACTAAGGAGACATCACAACCCCATGCGGTGAAGTAGGCAGTTTCCTAAAGACAGTGGAAACCTGGAGAACGGGCGGCACAGCAGGCCCCTGAGATGATGGGGCGTCTTAGAGGTGCCCTAGAGTGTTGCCGAGTTATTCAGAGATGGAGCAATGTGACACCTGCAACATACTGTAAGATGCTTTAGCCAAAAGTACACGTGTGTAAATGCAGCAAAAGACAGATCGGGGGCCTCCCCGGTGGCGCAGCGGTTGAGCGCTGGGTTGCAAAGCTGCCTGCAGCCTCTGCGGCGCCGGTTCAATCCCCAGCTGCTTCCCGGCCACCGGAGGAGGGTCCCACATGGCGCGCAGACCTCTCCTGCCGCCCGCTGCTCCCCTCAGCAGTGTACTTCGGTCCTTCAGCCCGCTCTGCTCCCCGCTCTGGCTCTGGTGAATTCTCTCACCCTCCCGCGCTTCTGACTGTACCCAGTGCTTGTATAAATAAATAAAAAATAAATAAATCTTAAAAAAAAAAAAAAGAAAAGACAGATCGGGAGCTGTGGGGTGGGGACGGGGCAGGAGGATGGAAGAAACTGGGTTGGGAGAGACGGCGGGCAGCACAACAACGCCCTCCTGAAGACTCCCACAGGTTAATCCCTGCAACCCACGTCTATCCTCCATTCCACAGCAAAGGGACTTTACAGAGGGGTAAAGTGAAGGACGCTGAGGTGGGGGACAATCCTGGGTTATCTGGAGGGTGGGGGGCCCAATGTCAACACAAGATTCCTCCCAAGAGGGAGGGAGGAGGATCAGGATCAGAGGGAGCCAAGAAGACAGAAGCAGAGGTGGGAGCAATCCGCGGAAGGGGCCAGCGGCTAAGCAAAGCAGGTGGCTCCTTGACTCTGCAACAAATCAAGATCAATTCTCCCCTGAAGACTCCAGAAGGAGCTGGCCCTGCTGGACTTGAGTGTTAGCCCTGAAATATTGATACTTCAGACTTCCGACCTCTAGAACTATACAAGAATAAATTCGGGTTTTTAAAAAATTGAAGTAACAATGGTTTGTAACATGATAGAGACTTCAGGTGTACAACATTCTCTTCATGACGTGCTGTATCACGGGCCCAACCCAACAGTCTAGTTTCCATCCACCACACAAACGACTCCCTTTACCTGATTTGCCCCTGACTACCATCCTTCCCCTCTGGTGACCACCAATTTGTTCTCATAATGAAACTGTTTTTGGTTTGTCTGTTTTTAAGTTTCAGGTAGATAGGTTTATATTTCACCATCTGTATGTATAGTGAGGAAATCCCATCATGATTACCACCAAAGTCTAGTTTTTATAAACGTGGGTTGTTTTAAATCACTGTGCTTATGGTCATTTGCTCATTTTCACAGCAGCTGCAGGAAGCTCACCCAGAGATCAAGCATGTGTTTCTGAAAAGCTCTCGGGGGGAGGGGAACGGTCCGATGCACTTGCCCCGCACCCCTAGTGAGATCCCTCAGGCCTAGGAACTCAAGCCTTGTCACATGACGGGTCCCCAGAGTCCTCATCTCCTCTTTCCTGGTGCATGCTCAGCTGGCAGGAGGCTTCAGCTGTCAGGCCAGGACTGGACCCTGCCCCCTTCTATCGGTTGCTCCCCTGAGTCCCCACAAGTTAGTCCCCACAGTCAGTGCAGAGAAGGGGTAACACTCTGAAGTCCCAAGTAGCTGAGGTACCTGTTGGGAGTCATCTTTAACAGAATCATGGCCGCAGACACTTGGTGAGGGCCTTGGCCTTGTCTCAACCTAACCTAGTCCTCAAAACCTCCAACAGGAAAATGCATGTGTCTCTGTCCAATCCTCACTCTGAGACCAAGAACAGGCATTTGTACTAAAAACCACTGAATTACACACTCTAATTGTGTGAACTAGATGGAATGTGAATTACAGTGCAATAAGGCCATTATTTTTAAAAGCCATTTCAGGGGACACTGCATGCTTTGGGCCAGGCCCGACCCCTCAGCCTTCCTGACCTGCAGGAGCCCCTGTGGCCTGTCCCTTAGGACCCCACGTACACATGTCACTTAGGAGTAACAGCATTGCCTCAGCTGTCCTGGGGCCTCCTGCAAAGACCTTCCTTATCAGAGAACAGGGACGAATAAAGTCAGCCCAGAGCTCAATGACAGGAGAGACTTGGGGCAGAGCCAACCGGGTCTACCCAATCGGTCCTGGGCTGCTCTGTGGTCTCTGCCCCTGCCCCCAACGCAGGGGCAATTTTGGGGCATGGTACTATACTGGCACCTACCCAGTGATCTCCAAACTCAGTAATGTGCAGGCATGGCTGTGGGGGCGGGGGGAACACTAGCTGACCCCATGGAGACCTCCATCTCTGCTGACACTGCACTGACTGATGGGATGGGGTTCCTTCCACCCCCGCCCATGGCTGCACTTCCCCAGGAACCAAAGACTCTCTCCCCCATGAGGCCCATGGCCCTAGGCAGAGCCTGACAGAGGCGCTGGGCTGAGCCATGAGCATCACTCCAGAGGGCAGTGACAAACACCCAAGGCGGGTCTCCCACAGCCAGGTGACATTTCCTAAGACAGAGCACTCCATCGCTGTGTGTCTGTCCACTTGAGAACCAGATTTCAGCACGAGATGCCTCACAGGAACACCTTTACCAAGAGGCAGGTTGATTATTCTGACAGACTGGCCATGGGGGCTGACTTGGGCTTTGTGAGGCTGGATGGAGGGTGTTTTCTAAAACTAAAGGGCAGAATCCCCAACTTCTAAGGATTTTACAAGAACACAGCATTCAACTTGCTGGTAAGTGAGTCCTCTGAGAAAAAGTGCAACCCTGTAATTTTAAAAAAGGTTAACTATGAGGGGCACATTGTGATTTGACAAGTATTAGGGGCTCTAATGAAATTTGAGCATGAAGACTGAATGTTACCTGGGGACGCTGGTCTTCTGGCTGGGGCCTGCCCTGTCCCCCCAGAGACCTCTCCCCCACCACTCTCTCCACCGGCCCTTCACATGCACCTGCTCCCACAGTCACTGACCCAGGAGAGCTGCCACCAAGCCAAGACCAAAGCTCCCAGTGAGTCCCAGTGGCCACAGGCCCCGTCTCCATGTCGGTGTGGTTCCTGCCCCCAGAGCACAGCTCCCAACAGGGCAAGGAGGGAGTGGTTCCTGAGCAGAACCAAGCCCTGGGAGGAGACAGAATCTTTCTTCACTGGGGTTCAAAATGAAAACTACCACAGAAGAAGTTCAAGATCTCCCTGTGCCATCCCGAGTCACACTCGCCCTGACCCAGAGCAGCCAGTGTGGCCTGGAACTTCGTCACCATGTTGCAGGAGCAGTTCTAAAGCCTCTTCCCCAAGACTGGAAGAAACACTAGCGAGTCCGTCACATCCAGTCATTCTGCATCAAGGACCCCCATGGAGGGAAAAGAAAAGTTTGACAACAGCACATTCTCCAGAGCCTGCAGGCCCGGGACACTCGAGGTGACCACCTGCAGCCATGTGTTCACCACAACACTATTTACAACAGCCAAGACACAGAAGCAACCCACATTCCCAGCAGCGGATGGGTGGGTAAGGAAGTTCTGGCGCATGTGCAGTCACATACCTGAATGATGGGGTGTGTTCTTAGAAACGCTCCGTTAGGTGATTGCCATCATCAGTCAATCACAGGTATAACTACAAAACCCTAGGACTCTCCTAGGACCAGTGGGCTGCATGGTAGAGCCCACTGGTCGTGTGTATGGACCACTGCTGAGGAGCTGTGGAATGACATGAGACTGTACAATGGGATCCTACCAGCCATAAAAAAGAATGACGTCTTACTATTTCACGGATAGAACTTTACAGTGAAGGTCGTCCACCTAGCTCAGCCAGCAACAAGCCAATCTAGGTGGGAGCAGCTCCTGCTTTCCACACAGCAATGCACTGCAGAACTGTTCGTCTTTGAAGACCATATCAGCTCTGTCACAACTATCGCTGACCCTTGAGCAGCACAGATTTGAACTGCAATGGTACACTTATATACAGATTTTCTTCTAAGCAACAATGTAAAGTTACATTATGGATAAATACAGCACAGTACTATAAATGTACTGTTTCTACCATATATTCTCAGTAACACTGTTGTTTCTCTAGTTTACTTTACTGTGAGAATATTTAATATATAACATACAAAATAAGCTTTAATCGACTATTAACACACAACATACCAACCTGTTATTGTTAAGATTTCCAGTCAACAGCTGTTAGTAGTTAAGTTTTCAGGGAGTCAAAAGTTATACTTGGAATTTTAACTGCAAGAGGTTTTGGCACCCCCAACACCAACAAAATTCAAGGATCAACTACACTCAATTCTACCACTGTGAGAAGCACGCTGCCGGAGGGGTCACATAAATGAATGGACTTAGTGCTGTGTCAACAAAACTCTATGTACAGAAACAAGCAGTGGGCCAGATTTGGTCTGCAGGCCATGGTCTGCCCACTCCTGACCCAGATGCCTGCAGTCTACTTTTAGGAAACAAAATCTTTCCTTGATCCTTCTCAAAGGTGACGCTGAACGCCACTACCCCTCTCTTTGCGTTCCTAAATCATGACAGAAAAGGCTTATGTTCTAGTCCATACTTGGCCCTCACAAGCTATGTGACCTCGAGCAGGAGTCTTCCTCTGAAATCAGCAATGAACCTGAGCCACAAGGAGCAGCCAACAAGGAATGGCCAAGGACACTCCAGACTTTTTATCCCACACTAAAGGCCCCCCCTGGGTTACCCCAGCCCATGGGCATGAGCTGGGGCATAATGAAGCTCTTGCTCTCTTCTTACCCGGTGACCACCTTGGGTCACAATCAGAGGCCAAGTCTATAAACCCTGTCTCTTTCCTGGTTTATTAGGAAAGTGCAGGAGAAAGTAGACATCCTAGAGTTGATCCAGATGCAACTGGGCAATGGAATTATTTTCACGGCATTTAAAATAATCTACCATTTTTTGAGACACCCTGCCCCCAACTGTGACTGGTCATCCTTTCCAGCAAGGCATGGGGTGGGATGCTCATGGCTCTCAAGGAGCCCAGAAGTGATGTCCTCCTACCCAGGACGTGATCACACAGCACAGACAGGGAAGCACAATCCCAGCATAATCCGAAACGCACAAAGGCTGTCAGGGCTTCTAGAAGTGAGGGGTGGGCGTTCAGAGGCTGACAAGCAAAGTGCAAACAAGGACTAGAGAAGAGTATCTCCAAAGGGGTCCAGGCTCCTTTCTAAAGATGTCTGCACCCTGAAGACGCCAGGACCTCAGCACCAATCAGGGGCTATCTTCTCCCACAAGCACAGTGCAGGTCTTAGGTAGCCCTGGAGGAGGTTTTAGCCCTCACTGACTTGGTCTCACGTGTGGCCACTTGGGGCCAGAGGCCCATGCACTTACTTTGCAGTTGCAGTAGGGACTGGACAGCTGAGACCACGATAAGAGATGCTCTGCTAATTGATGAGGCTTTCTCTCAGTTTCCAGCCACTGAAACAGTTCCTAAAATGAGAAAAATAACAGCATGATTAAACTGACTGCATGCCTACATCTATATTCCAAATTATACTCCTAGCAGCTGCCTGTATCCCAATGATGCTCGCCTTCACTCAGACATTTCCAAATCCAGGTCACTTTGCAAGAACATGAAAATCCATACCATAGACACTTTCCAATTAAAGTCTTCCCATGACTGCCCATTTCAAACTCAGCTCCTAGAAATCAGCAGCTGCAGATTCAAGAGCCTCTATAACCAATCAACTTAAACCAAAAAAGCTTCTGGAAACATCAAGGTACAGAGACTATTGAGAGTTTTCTTAATGTTCTCCCATCTCCAAATCCCCACAGCTGGAGAAGATACCCCTTCCAAGGAGGAAAGGTGTATGGACATTGTCACTTGGTGACTGACACCCAGATCCCCAGGAGGCACAGAGCACAGGCAGAAAGGTTAGCAGGGATTGTGCAGGTGTCATGAGGGCAGGGTCCTGACTGATGAATTCAGCCAGGCAGAAATATACTCCAACCCATGTTGCATGGATGCAGGATAAGACCCTAAAATTGGGGTTGGCCCTAGGACCTTTGACAATTCGACTACAGCTACAGGTACCCTGATTCACACACTCCCCCATTGCTGTTCCATGAACTCCCAGTGCCCTGGCATCTACATGACCCCTCCCTGCTTCTGTGTCTTTGCACACGCCATCTCCCACTGGAGAATCCCTGATGGGCCTGACTTTCTATGTTGAATTTGGCCCCCACAACCAGGAGTTTAAAATAGCACAAGTTAGGCCTCCCTGGTGGCGTAAGGGGTTAAGACGCAACCTATGAAGCTGTCCGCAGTCACTGCAGCACGAGTTTGATCCCCAGCCAGGGAGCTACCCACATGGCACAGCAGACCTTTCCTGTCTCACCCGCTGCTCCCCTCAGCAATGTATTTCAGTCAATTTGCCTGTTTTGTTCTCCACCTGGCTCTGGTGCATCCTCTCACCTCCCACACCTCTGGCCTGCACTCCAGTTCTTGTATGAATAAATAAATCTTCAAAAAAAAAAAACAAAATAGGGGCCTCCCTAGTGGTGCAAGGGGTTAAGACACAGCACTATGAGGCTATATGTAGCCACAGTAGCACAAGTTCGATCCCCGGCCAGGGAGCTGACCCACATGGTGCAGCAGACCTCGCCTGTCTTGCCCGCTGCTTCCCTCAGCAGTGTATTTCAGTACATCTGCCTGTTCTGGTCCCCACTCTGTCTCTGTGAATCTCTGACCTGTACCCCAGCTCTTGTATGCATAAATAAATAAATCTTTATAAAAAATTAAAAAAAAAAAAGCACAAGTTTCATGAGTACCCTTACACTACACAAGGCACACTGGCATTTTCCATCTTATTTTCATCTATTGAAATTACTAGGCATAACTCATTAAATTGATTTTTACTGTCTTTTAAAAGGTCACAATCCCTGGGTTGAGAGGGCACACCAAGCTGGAATTACTGGGCCACACTCTTCCTCTGGAAGGTAGACTGCTGCTGACGCTCCCAGGGGTCCTCAGTTTCTCCCACCTGCCTGCCAAAGGCTCTTGCACACACACCTAAGCACCTGACAGTGGCAGGAGCTGAGGTTCCCAAGGTCTTGTTACTCTGGAATCTCCCCGTAGCTGTGGCTGGCACAATAAAGCCCCCAGAGATGTACCCATGCTAATCCCCGGAACCTGTGATTCTGCTCTTTTCCATAGCAAATGGGACTTTGCAGAAGGGCTGAAGGTAAGGTTCTTGAGATGGGGGTGATGGGTTACGGGGGGGCCTCACAAGGGTCCTTAAAAGAGGGCAATAGGAGGGACAGTCAGAGAATAAGATATGACAACAGAAGCGGAATTCAGAGTGATATGCACTGAGGACTGAGGAAGGGGCCATAAGCCAAGGACGCAGGCACCTCTAGAAGCTGGATATGGGAAAAAAACAGGTTCTCCCCTGGAACCTCCAGAAGGATCAAGACCTGCTCACAGCTCAGTTTTAGCCCAGTGAGACCACACTGGACTCACTGTAAGATAATCCATCTGCATGGCTTAAAGTCACTAAGTCTGAGAGGTCATTTGTCTCTGCAGCAAGGGAAACTGATACAGTAAATTTGATGTGCATTTTCCTGATCCCGGAGGAGGGGTGGGGTCTTTTCATTCCACAGGCCATGCATTGCGTACAACTGTCAAGGCCATGAAAATGAAACAAGTCTGAAAATTGCCCCAAGAGGAGTCTTAGGAGATATGACAATTCAATGTCACATGGGGTCCAGGGAAGAGGAGGGCGTTATGGGAAAAGGAGTCTGGGCACCTGAGCAAGTCCATGGATTCAGTAAATAAACACACATCAGGACTGGCTGCCTGTGACAATGTCCAGCTATGATGTTGATCATAATAGGGAAACTGAGTGGGGAGGAAGAGACCATCTGCTCAATTTTTCTATAAATCTGAAACTCTTAGAAGTCAAATCCAAGTAATTTTTTAAAGGAAAAGCAAGACAAAAGGACCCAGGCAGGCTAGGTTTGCTGCCTCCTGCTGCCCTGACTAGTCCAACCGGGCCACTGACCTCGCCGTGGGTCCTGGCGAATCTGGGGCACTAAGAATAGAACCCAGGAGGGGAGTCTGGTTTCAGTAAGGGAAGAGGCTACAGTGCAACCAAACGCATCAGACATCAACACCCCTAAAAAGCAGAGTCTGACCATTTCTCCTTTAAAAGCACAATCCAGCTATTAGATGGCACCATTATTCGAAGCACCCATCCGAGCACAGGTGCTCACAGAAGCAGCAGGCACAGTGCTCCTCCCTCCCTCCGGCTCAGCAAAGGGCAGGCTGGTAGGGCCAGGAGGAAGGAGCAGCAGGAAACAGGAAAGAAGCCGTATCTAAAAACTGAGGCCACAGAACTGTCATCAGCTTGTGGCATCTTTGGGGACAGCATGGGCTTTACCTCACCCAGGTGGGAGGCAGGGGAGAGGTGGGCCTGGGCCCCAGATTCCATCAACTCTCCACCGCCTTTGGAATGGGTTCAGAAGACTGGGTATAACCTGGAGCTGGACCCTGGCATGAAAGGTAGAGACTTGCCTGGATGTCCTGTGGGCCAGAAAGGAAGGGCGCCCTCACCTGCATGTGCAGTTACCTAGCCCAGGAGGACTCAATGTCCGACTGTCAAGTCCTCCCATGGTCCCAAGCCCCAGGCGGTCCTTAAAGGGGGCCTGGTGTCTCCTGCCTCCCAGTCAAGTCTGCAGAGGACTCCTGATGCCCTTATAGAAGCCACCCAAGGCGTTAGAAGGAGCCATTGACTTGAATACTATCATCTGATCCATATGAATTGTGGGTTTTTAGAAAGGACAGAAGCAGACAGAAAGATAAAGAAATAAGCAGAGGCTGTCGGCTAACAGTCAAGAGGGAATGACACCCCCAGAGCTGAGCAGATCCAGCGCCCACATCACTGTGCTCAAATATCATTCTCCAAATGAAGGAACCAAGTCTCCTAGGAAAAGTGGTCAATTCCAGGGCCGGGCAGGGAATATACAAGACAAGCTTGGAGCATCGCATGGAAGCAGGGATAAAGGCAACACTCACCAGCAGATGGGGGCAAGTAGGAGAGACATGAGAGCCAACTGAGGCAGCACCTACTGGCAAAGGCAGGACAACTTGGGCCACCAACTAAATAACCACAGCATGGAATTACAACCCACATATCAAGTACACATACACAGGTCTTCACTAGAAGAAAATTTTAAATGTAGCATAAATGCAGGGAAGGGACAGCTCACTTCCACACAAAAATTCTAATTCATAAATGGAATAGGAAAAGAGGGCAACACACAATCACCACGAAAATGCCACTGTGACAATTACTGCAGGAAAGACTCACAGGTAGATGCTGAAGTTAAGGGGCAAAGGTTTGAGGAGAAGCAAGGTATGAGTATAGTCTCAAAGTTCCAAAGGGAAAAACAGCCACTTTGCAGGCTCCTGGTGGTGACGGTGCCAGCAAGAAGAGATCAATAAGCTTCAGAAGAGGGACCCAACACCACCCTGCGACAGCCCTCCCGAAACGCACAACCTTGGTCTAGCCACAAGGAAACAACAAAGTAAGGTTGCGGGACAGCCTACAAAACCCCTGCCTAGCACTCTCCGAGAGTGTGTCGTGCCATGACAGACCGAGGGCCCATCGCAGGTTCAGAAGCCCCTGGAGACCTGAGAACGAATGCACCGCGGGGTCTTGAGATGGAAAATGGACGTTCATGGAACAACTGGTGTAATCCTAATAAAACCTAGAGTTTAATAAATATTTTATTGCATCATGTTCCATGCTTACTTTGGGGCCTTCTGCAATTATGTCAGGAGTTAACAGTAAGGGACACTCTGTACTGTCTTTTGCAATATTTCAATACTTCTAAATTTATTTCCCCCCCAAAAAAAACCCTCTGCGTCCATCCTCTGAAGCTCACTGCACAGCAGGATTTTTAGCTAGAAGAGAATTTGGTTGTAAAAAGATCCAAACTGATAAGAAAGAAAAAGAAAACTGAAGCCACACCACAGTCCAGTTTCAGGCTAGATTAAAGACCAAACCTGCTGGACACAAGTTTCAGATCCTTCCCATTTGAAAGAACGGAAAAGCTGGTACTTTTCTTCAACTTTTTCAGACTGGGAAAAGTGCTCTTACTTACACTAGCCCACCAAACCCTCCACATCCTCACTGCCATCTAAATCCAACTGCAGATGTTGTGACGCCTGAGTCAGGGGAGCAGAAGGCACCCTAGGTTGTCTGGCTCCCAACCACCTAGGATCTGGCCTCAGCACCCCCAAGATTAAATATAAAGTAACTCAGCATGACAGAACTACAGCAATCGAGACTAGCACTGGCATAAGAAGAGACATTGAGATGAATTCAAGAACATATGATCCAGGAATAAATGCACAATTTTAAAGTCAGACCATTTAAGAAAGAAAGGACAGGCTTTTCAACAGTTGTGCTGGTAAAAGTGAATTT